GGCCCCCCCCTCCCATGCCTGCCACGGCAGGCTGGGCACTCACCTCACGTCCTCCTGCTTGTGCAGCGTCAGGTAAACCTCGTAGATCTTGCCCCGGGGGATGGCGTCGGGCGGGATGAGCAGGCTGATCCCTAGAGCCGGTCGGGGACACCGTCAGCAGCCCCGCAGGACAGCCCCACGCCCCCAGGGACCCTCCTGCCCTCAAGCTGCAACCCTGCCTGCCTGGCCCCACCGTGCAGAGTCAAGACCACCCTAAGTACACCCACCCCATCCTGCATGCGGGAGCAGGGCACGGCTGCTTGCACATGCGGGTCGCATGGTACACGTGGCTCCGGCCCCAGTGCATGGGAGCAGGCACGACTCGACTCCCTGCACGCCTGCACCAGCGACCCGGCCAGGCTCCCACCAACAGACCCAGTGCGGAGCCCTACCCGTGTTGGGGATCATGAGCCGGCCACCCAGGAAGTTGAAGGTGCCATAGGCCACGTTGGCGGTGCCGCGGGGCAGGGAGCGGAAGCAGCTCTGGGTGGAGAGCCGCGTCACAAAGTCCACGCCCTCGGCACTGGGCGAGCTGTGGTGCAGCGTGTGGCGCCCGGCGCCCAGCGCGCTCAGTAGGTGCCCGTTGCTCAGCTGGAACTTGCCAGGCCCATCCTGGCGCGGGCACAGTGAGCCCTGGTAGGTCATGGTGGTGGTGCTGAGGTCGGGCTGGATGGTGAGCAGGTTGGAGTTGTCTGTGGCAGAGAAGGAAGCCGGCGGGAGCTGTTGCGGGCCCGGCCATGTGGGGGAGCCTGGGGTGGGGAGAGCCCCTGGCTGCCCCCTGACCCCCACTGCCAGCGTGGGGTGCAGGGCACTGGGTCCAGTGCCACCCACCTGCCTTGCTGGGCTTGATGCTGACGGGCTGGAAGCCAGCAGTGAGGATGGAGGAGTCGGCCACGTCGGCGTCCAGCCCCTCCTTCTTGCGGCAGTACACCAGGACGCCCACCAGCAGCAGCAGCACCAGGCACACTGCCACGGCAATCAGCCCCACGTACAGCGCCACGTCCTCGGGGCCCGAGGCGGCTGGGCCGCAGTGGGAGATGGAGCCGTGAGCCCCCGCCCTGGCCAGCAGAGCCCCGCAGCGGAGTAGGATGACGGGGCACCGCAGAGCCCACCTGGTGCGGGCTGGGGGCATGCAGCCGGGGTGGGTCGAGCACGGGAAGGGGTGCGGTGCGAGTCTCCGGGCACACACAAGGCCGATGCCATGGCTTTGGCATGATGGGCACACGCCTGCCCACGTGTGAGCAAGGCCCAGATCCGTGGGGTCGGGCAAGGCCAGGCCTGTGCCCGTCGGCAAGGGAATGGGAGCCCCGCGGCCCCCGCTCGGCAGCCAGCCGGCTCCCGGGGATGGCGCCGGCTTCATCTCAGTGGCAAGAACGGCTAATTTGCTGTAAATGGCAAAGCAGCCCCCAGGCAGCCTTAACGAGCCGCAGCACTAACGAGCTGGGACAGGACCTGCTGCTCCATCCTACACCCCAGAGAGCTGCTTTGGAGCCCCGTGCCCGCATGCTGCAGCTGCAGCTCTGCCCTCACAGCACCTGGAGCCGCTCCCTGGGCCGCCCCCACCCGGGACACCCCCAGGGCCCTGGCCCCACGCTCACTGTGGGTGCAGAGCTCGCTGGTGCAGTTGCGGGTCTCCAGCTCGGGGCCCTGGCACTCCTGCCCACCGTTTCGAGGCGCTGGCTCCGAGCACTCGCGGCTGCGCCAGTGCGTGCAGTCCAGGCCACACACCGACCACTTGCTCCACTCCGACCAGCCGCCGTCCACTGTATGGGGACACGCTGTCAGCTGGGCCTGAGCCCTGCGGCCCCCCATGCCCCGGTGTGGACACTGCCCCAGGTGCTGCTGCAAGAGGCCTGGCTTGGGGCTGCCCCTTTGCTCCCCCTGCCTGGTGCAGCAGGGCTGGGGTCCCAGGGCATGGGGGCCCGGCTGAGACCCCTACCCTCCAAGGTGCTGCCCAGCAGCGCCCAGCAGCAGCCCTCGACCACCACGGGGCAGGATGGAGACAAGACACATGGGGGTTGGGGACGACACAGCCGGGGAAAGGGGAGAGAGGGGCACAGAGCAGGGCACTCCTGGGCCAGGGCTGCATGGTCGACTTTGGATGCACCCTGTCAGGCCCAGAGTGGGGAGGACAGAGGCTGTGGGGGCACTGGTGGAGCTGGGAGGGAAGCTAGGGCTATGGGGCAGCAGCAGAGCCATGTGTGTCCACTGTGCCTGGAGCCGGCCCTGGGCACCCAGGCCCGGCCTGCCTGAGTTTGTCTCTGCCATGCTGGCATGGCTGGAGCTGCTGGGCCCAGTGGGTACCTGGGCACAGGGTGGTGCAGGCACTTTTCTGCAGGCTCTGGCCTTCGCAGGTGGCCCCGCCGTTGAGGGGCGTCGGGTTGGTGCAGCTCCGGCTCCGCTTCTGCCAGCCGCGGCCGCAGGAGGCGCTGCAGGCCGACCACTCTGTCCACGTCGACCAGCCACCGTTCACTGCAGGCACAGGCACGCGTCACCCGCGCCGGCCCCACCGCCCCACGGGCCCTGCTCCAGGGAGGGTTGGGGGGCAACAGGGTGGGGGGGAGACACGGGGAGACAGGGGGAGACACGGGGGTCGCACGGGGCCGTACCATAGACGGTGATGGCGGCGGAGGGCTCGGGCGTCACGTCCACGTTGGCGTCCAGCGCCGGGTCCACCAGCTCCTCGTTGCGCAGCCACTCCACCTGTGGGCGCCGGGACGTCACCGGGGCCCTGCCAAGTCCCAGCCTGCTTGGGCCAGACCCTGACGTGCCCCCAGCCTGGGTTGCTGGGCCCAGAGAAGGGCTGCAGAGCAGACACAGCCCCCCAAGCTGCCGGCCACAGGTGAGACATGGAGCAGAGTGCAGAGGCCAAGCCCCAGGGTCACAGGCCTAGGCGGGACCCCAGGCTTGCCCCCATCCAGCCCCAGCCCTGATGCTAGGTGCACGGCTCCCAGCCCAGCCCAGCCCAGCTAGATACCTCCTTAGAAGAAGATGCCCCGTGATGCACCCAGATCCGCTCTGACCCCCGC